TGGCCTGGCCCTGGGGGCTGCCTGGGGGCTGCCTAGCCCTGGGGCTGTCTGGCCCTGGGGGCTGCCTGGCCCTGGGGCTGTCTGGCCCTCAGCTTCCCACCCCCCCAACACGCTGCTTCTCAGTGGTAGATGCCCCTCTTCCCTGCTGCTCCTTATTAAGGTGCCAGCCTGGCCTAGGGCTCCCCAAGGCCTTGGGCCCACTCACCTGCCCACTTCCCCACAGCTGGAGCTGGACAGCAGGTTCCAGAATCACACCTGCGGCCTCTGCGGGGACTTCAATGGCCTGCCGTCCTACTCGGAGTTCCTCTCTGAAGGTGAGCGCTGGGCTGGGGTTCTGTGGGGTGGAGGCAGGGGTGGAGCTGCTGACCGCTGACCGGCTGTGCCCCCAGGCGTCACATTCAGTGCCATTGAGTTTGGGAACATGCAGAAGATCAATAAGCCTGAGGTGGTGTGCGAGGACCCCGAGGAGGTGCCCGCACCTGAGTCCTGCTCCAAGCACGTGAGTCCCAGCCTGGGGGCCCTTAGAGTTTCTGGGTGGGGCCCCCATCTGTGGGTGCTCTCGGGAACCCTGCTGCGGGGAGAGAGGGGAGCTGTGAGCAGTTGCCCACCCCCACGTCCTTCCTGCCAGCGTGCTGAGTGCGAGAGATTGCTGACCGACGCGGCCTTCCAAGACTGCCAGGCCCGGCTGCCGCTGGAGCTGTACGTGCAGGCCTGCATGCAGGATCGCTGCCGGTGCCCGCAGGGTGGGGCCTGCGTCTGCAGCACCCTCGCCGAGTTCTCCCGTCAGTGCTCCCACGCTGGCGGCCGGCCTGGGAACTGGAGGTCGGCCTCCTTCTGCCGTAAGTGGCCCGAGACAGAGCCAGTGGCAGCCTCCCTGGGTCTAGGGAGCCCCGGGAAGGGGTCTGTGCCAAGTACCCGGGGGCCACAGCTGTGGGGAGCCAGGTGACTCCAGTGGCCGAGACTGAGGCCCTTGGACATGGCCACCTGCCACCGTGCTCTGCCCTCGTGGGATCGCCTGTTCACGGAGCTGCCTTCACTTCCAGCCAAGAGCTGCCCCGGGAACATGGTTTACCTGGAGAGCGGCTCACCCTGCGTGGACACCTGCTCACACCTGGAGGTCAGCAGCCTGTGCGAGGAGCACCACATGGACGGCTGTTTCTGCCCAGAAGGTTGTTCTCGGGGGGCGGGTGCCTGCTGAGTTGGGGTGGGAGCCAGGCTGGCAGCCCCGCCCTGGGGAGAATGGCATGGCTGAGCCGCCCAGGGTGACTTCACCTCCCCTGCGGTCCCAGGCACTGTGTATGATGACCTCACGGGCAGCGGCTGCATCCCCGTCAGCCAGTGCCACTGCAAGCTGCACGGGCACCTGTATGTGCCGGGCCAGGAGATCACCAATGACTGTGAGCAATGGTGAGTTGCTGGTCCAGGGCACAGGGCCTGGAAGGCTGGGGCGTCCCCGAGCCCTGACCCTGTGTTCTGATGGCCGACAGTGTCTGCCATGCTGGCCGCTGGGTGTGTAAAGACCTGCCATGCCCTGGGACCTGCACCCTGGAGGGTGGCTCCCACATCACCACCTTCGATGGGAAAAAGTTCACCTTTCACGGGGACTGCTACTACGTCCTGACCAAGGTGGGTGGGGTGGAGCTGGGGGCCCTGGGCCCTCCCAGCAGGGGACTGGCTGGCCCTTGAGAAGAGGGGGCCTGGGGCTGTCCCTAGGGTGGTGAAGGGTGTTGAGAAATGGGCTTCCCTTCTAAGTCACTGTGGAGCCCTGGGTTCAGGGCTGGGCCCTGCCTCTGGGCCACAACCCTCCTGCCTTCCCCACACAGGGCGACCACAACGACTCCTTCACCCTCTTGGGCGAGCTGGCCCCCTGCGGCTCCACGGATAAGCAGACCTGCCTGAAGACAGTGGCACTGCTGATAGACAGGAAGAAGAACGTGGGTGCCCTGCCTGTCCCCCCAGGGCTCCAGACTCCTTGAAGCCTTCTCAGCCCTGAATACCCTTGGCCTGTCTTGTAGGTGGTGGCCTTCAAGTCGGACGGCAGCGTGCTACTCAACGAGCTGGCAGTGACCCTGCCCCACGTGGCTGGTGAGGGGAGGGGACCCAGAGCTGGTCTGGTCGGCTTGACCTGCTGGGATGTGGGCAGCTGGGGGCCTGGGGCCCAGGAGGCTGGGCAGGGGAGGGTCCCTGCTCACTGGGCCACGCGGGCCTCTGCCGTGGGTGGAGGGAGCCCCCTGCGGCACCAGGCTGCGTGCCCTCACTGCGCCCTCCTTGCAGCCAGCTTCTCCATCTTCCAACCCTCCTCCTACCACATCGTCGTGAACACGGCCCTCGGGCTGCGGCTGCAGGTGCAGCTGGTGCCCGTCATGCAGCTCTTCGTGACGCTGGACCAGGCTGCCCAGGGGCAGGTGCAGGGTGAGTGGCCCCGCCTGGCTCTCCCCGCCCAGGTGCCCCCCCCAGCCCAGACCCCTCCCAACCGTGTCCTGGCCCCCCAGGGCTCTGCGGGGACTTCAATGGCCTGGAAAGTGACGACTTCAGGACGGCGGGTGGCCTGGTGGAGGCCACGGGGTCCAGCTTCGCCAACAGCTGGAAGGCCCAGGCCAGCTGCCACGACAAGCTGGACTGGCTGGACGACCCCTGTTCCCTCAACATCGAGAGTGGTGAGGCTCGGCTCCGCGGCGCCCACGGCCTGCCGTCCCTGAGCTCCGGCCAGCGGGGCGGGCAGGCGGGGCTCCTGGTGGGACAAGGGGTGGGTGAGGGTGGGTGGGTGGTGGCAGCCTGCCAAGTGACATGGTGGGGGGTGACTGGCTCATGACTGGGTGGTGACCCTCGTCCAGAGATTGGCCCGGAGCCAGGACAGTGCGCCTTCCACCCAGCACCCCACAGCACCTGGTGGCTCTTGGCCCCTTGGGGTGGAGAGAGAGGAGGTAGCAGGGTGCACCCTGCCCAGAGCTTCCAGGGTATTTGACCAGAGGGACTGAGGGGGCCAGGGCTGGGGGCCACCCAGCCGCTGGACCCGGAGCGTGTGAGGGGCCTGGCCTTGCTGAGGCTCCCACCTGCCTCCCCAGCCAACTATGCGGAGCACTGGTGCTCCCTCCTGAAGAAGACGGAGACCCCCTTCGGCAGGTGCCACCTGGCGGTGGACCCCACTGAGTATTACAAGGTCAGTCCCCTCCCCCATGCCGTGTGCCATGCCCAGAGCCTGCCTGGCGTGCCCAGTGGGTGACGGGCGTGTGTGCTGAGTGCACAGGGAGCCGGGTCGCACCTGGGGCTCCACCTCACTGCCCCCCCCCCCCCGTTTGCTTTCCAGAGATGCAAGTATGACACCTGCAACTGTCAGAACAACGAGGACTGCCTGTGCGCAGCGCTGTCCTCCTATGCGCGGGCCTGCGCCACCAAGGGCGTCATGCTGTGGGGCTGGCGGGAGCGCGTCTGCAGTGAGTGCCCCCCGAGGCTGGGCCCTGAGCACGGGTGGCCCAAGGGAGGGTCATCTCCTGCAGCTGGCTCCTGGCGGGCACCTTCAGGGACCAGGGATGGGGGCGGTCAGGAGCTGTGGCAGCTGAGTTCAGGGTGGGCGTCCCTGGGCGGCTGCCCTCCCTGGTCTCTTGGTCGGATGGGCGCTGCTGCCCTGAAGGAGCGAGGCTCAGGGACAGTCTTCGGGGATGGAGCTGGGAGCTGGTCTCTCCTGCGCCTCACTCTGGTCCCTTGTTCTCTGCAGACAAGGACGTGGGCTCCTGCCCCAAATCTCAGACCTTCCTGTACAACCTGACCACCTGCCAGCAGACCTGCCGCTCGCTCTCTGAGGGGGAAACCCACTGTCTCAAAGGCTTCACGCCCGTGGACGGCTGTGGCTGCCCTGACCACACCTTCTTGGATGAGAAGGGCCGCTGTGTGCCCCTGGCCAAGTGCTCCTGCTACCACCGAGGCCTCTACCTGGAGGCGGGGGATGTGGTCTTGAGGCAGGAGGAGCGCTGGTGGGTGTCTGGCCTGGGCAGGGAGGCCTGGGGTGGGGCAGGTCTGCCTCTGGAGCTCTGCTCTGAGTGAGACAGGGGTGCAGATGGGCCTGGGGCGGGGGACTGGCAGGGGCAGCTTCCCTTGACTGTCCCGAGTGAGGACTCCTGGGCCCTGTTTATCCCCCTCTCCTTCCCAGTGTCTGCCGAAATGGGAGGCTGCACTGTACGCAGGTCAAGCTGATCGGCCAGAGTAAGTGGATGCTGCTCTGGGCATGGCCACCGGCCCTTTGGCTTGCTCCCCTACCCCTTCTCCTGCCCACCCGTGCCCGCTAACGTCAGCGTGAGCTCAGGCAGCCCCTTTGTCCCACAGGCTGTGCGGCCCCAAAGATCCTTGTCGACTGCAACAACCTGACTGCCCTGGCCACCCGAGAGCCCCGCCCCACCAGCTGTCAGACGCTGGTTGCTGGCTATGTGCGTGCTGGGGAGGGTTGTGGTGGGTGGGCTGGGTGGGCTGGGTGGGGTATTTCTGGCTGAGCCATTGTGGAGGGAGCAGGTAGACTCCTCTATGCCCTGTCCACCAGGTCCGGATGCTGAATCCTATGGATACTGGATTTTGTTGACACTGCCCCTGTTGTGGGAAGGAAGTGGTGGCCTCTGGGCCCCCTGGGAACAGGGGCCAGTTTAGCGGCTCTAGGCAGGCCACCTTCACCTGTCTTCCTGCCCACATGTGGGCCGGAGGGGAGAGGCCTGGGGCCAGGGAGAGATTCTCCCACTGTGTCCTCCCAACTCCCAGAGGGAGCTTTGGTCTCATTGAAGCCCCCTCTGCTGCCCCCAGTACCATACGGATTGTGTCAGTGGCTGTGTCTGCCCTGAGGGGCTCCTGGATGATGGCCGGGGTGGCTGTGTGGAGGAGGAGGAGTGCCCGTGTGTCCACAACAAGGACCTGTACTCCCCTGGGGACAAGATCAAGCTAGACTGCAACAACACCTGGTAAGTGGCCTGGCTGAGGGTACCCCCGGGTCCTACAGGGCCAGGGGTGGCTCTGGCTCAGCTGATGGGCAGTCTCTCAGGTCTGCCCCTGGTCCTGGAGCAGAGGTGGGGTGCAGGGTATGTTTGGGCTGCTGTGGGTGCTGTTCGGTGTCCTGCATGGGCTGCCAGGAGTTGTCTCCACCAACCCAGGGTCTAAGCCAGGTTGGTGTCTGAGCAGGGGTGGGGCCCTGGGCTCTGGCCCCTTCAGGTTTCCCTCCTATTCTCAGCACCTGCCAGAGAGGACGCTGGCAATGTACCCAGTTCCTGTGCCACGGTACCTGTTCCATTTACGGGAGTGGCCACTACATCACCTTTGACGGGAAGCACTATGACTTTGATGGACACTGCTCCTACGTGGCTGTCCAGGTGAGGCCTGCCCTGCCCCACGGTCCCCACGGTCCCCACGGTCCCCGCTCTACCGGCTCTGAGATGCAGGAGACCTTGTGGGAGGCCCGTCCTCTGCCCCAGGCCCCACCTGGTCAAGGTTTGGGCTTCTGGCTGGGAGAGGGGTGGGCACGGTAAAGCCCCCTCTCCAGTTCCGTGACCCTCCTGCTGAAGTACCTGTGTGTGCACACGCATGTGTAATCAGGACAGGCCTGGCTGGCTGGCCCAGCCCTGGCACCCCCGGTGCCACTGTTATCCCCAGCCACCCGATGAGGGGCTGCCCTCGCCAGGTCTGAGTTGGAGCTGGCTGACCTCACCCACTGGCCCCTAGGACTACTGCGGCCAGAACTCCACAACAGGCTCCTTCAGCATCATCACTGAGAATGTCCCCTGTGGCACCACTGGTGTCACCTGCTCCAAGGCCATCAAGATCTTCATAGGGGTGAGTGCTGCCCATCCCTGGGGTTCCCAGAGCCCTCGGGGACCCTCAGACACTGCTAGTGACCTGCCTCTCCTCTGGGCAGAGGACGGAGCTGAAGCTGGAGGACAAGCGCCGGGAAGTGGTCCAGCTCGAGGAGGGCCACCAGGTGGCCTACACCACGCGGGAAGTGGGCCAGTACCTGGTGGTTGAGGCTAGCACCGGCATCATCGTCATCTGGGACAAGAAGACCACCATCTTCATCAAGCTGGCTCCGTCCTACAAGGTGGGCCGCCCCGCCGGCCAGCCCTCTCAGGGCCGCCCCTCTGTGGCCTCTGAACTGTGCTGCCCCCCCCCCCCCCCCCCCCCCCCCCCGCCGTGCCCACCCCCCCCCCCCCCCCCCCCCCCCGCCTGGCCTGTGAAGCCTATGCTCCTTCCCCACAGGGCACTGTGTGCGGCCTGTGCGGGAACTTTGATGACCGCACTAGCAACGACTTCACCACGCGGGACCACATGGTGGTGAGCAGCGAGCTGGACTTCGGGAACAGCTGGAAGGAGGCCTCCACCTGCCCAGACGTGAGCACCATCCCGGACCCCTGCAGCCTGAACCCGCACCGCCGCTCCTGGGCCGAGAAGCAGTGCAGCATCATCAAGAGCAGCGTGTTCAGCGCGTGCCACAGCAAGGTGGGCGGGGCTGCGGGCCTGGGCGGGGCCACAGCCGGGTGGGCGGGGCTGTGGGCCTGGGCGGGGCCACAGCCGGGTAGGCGGGGCTGCGAGCCTGGGCGGGGCCACAGCAAGGTGGGCGGGGCTGCGGGCCTGGGCGGGGCCACAGCCGGGTGGGCGGGGCTGCGGGCCTGGGCGGGGCCACAGCCGGGTGGGCGGGGCCGGGCGAGGGGCTTGGGCGTGGCCCTGCAGCCTGTACCCTGCGCTGAGGGCACTCTGGGGAGTGGCTCCCTGTGGAGTACTTGTCCTGGAGTTTTCTCCTTTCTCATTGTTCTTTGGACACATGAGGAGATGACCAGGTGATCCTCTGAGACTCCTGGTTGGACCCAGCCTCCCTCTACCTCTCTGACTTACATGCTCACAATGGAGGGAGGGAAGACAGGTAAGGGGCTAATGACCAGATGGCCCCAGATACTGGCAACAGAGGGCAGGACCGGTTTTAGGATGGCCATCTTATCCTGAGACCTTCGAAGCCCCAGGGCTGCACAGTCAGGGTGTCTTTGGACACCCCCAGTTATGAGTCACTTTGGAGCCCTGGGCCGACCAGGGCCAGACGCAGGGTCCTGGCCTCATGAAGGCAGTGAGGGCCCAGGGCACACCACGTCTTCTCCTCAGGTGGACCCCACGGTCTTCTACGAGGCCTGCGTGCAGGACTCCTGTTCCTGTGACACGGGGGGCGACTGCGAGTGCTTCTGCTCTGCCGTGGCCTCCTACGCCCAGGAGTGCACCAAGGCGGAGGCCTGTGTGTTCTGGAGGACACCGGACCTGTGCCGTGAGTGCCCGCTGTCCTGACCAGGGGCTGCAGAGAGGGCTGGGGGCAGGCGGCACTCCCTCCCCTCCAAGTGACAGCACGTATGTCATTAACCCCATGCTTCCTGGGATCACTGGGAGACCTGGTTGTCCAGACCTGGCTGGACGTGTCCCTGCCCACTCCCCCATCCCAGCCTCACCTTTGTCTGGGCCCCTGCCTGCATCCTGCTGAGTCTGACCCTGTCCCCATCCTCCTGTCCTCCCTCCAGCCATATTCTGTGACTACTACAACCCCCCGGACGAGTGTGAGTGGCATTATGAGCCGTGTGGGAACCGCAGCTTTGAAACCTGCAGGACCATCAACGGCATCCACTCCAACATCTCTGTGTCCTACCTGGAGGGTGAGCAGGGAGGGCCTTGGGGGCAGGGGGTAGCCCTGCTGGTAGGCGTCGTGGGGCTTAAAGCTGCCATTGGCTGGAGACCCATGGGAACCCTGGAGGGAGGCCTGAGGTCTGCAGATCTGAGGCCCAGGGGGCGGCCAGGCTCACCTGTGGCAGAATGTGTCCTTCGAGCAGTGGGCTTGGGCTGCCCTGAACCTCCTCAAGGAGAATCAGAGAAGCAGCAGCTAACAGCCCTGAGAGGGGCTGGCTAGGCAGAGGACCCCCAGGGGTGGGGAGACCCAGCCCTCTCTGTCCCCTGGCCTTGCCAGAGGAACACCCCGAGAGACACGGCTGATGGGTGGGGCTGCTGGGGAGGCTCCAGTGGACCTCCCTGGAAGTCCAAGGCCCTTGCCCTGTGCCCGTCAGGTTGCTACCCCCGATGCCCTACGGACAGGCCCATCTACGATGAGGACCTCAAGAAGTGTGTCACTGGGGACCAGTGTGGCTGCTATGTTGGGGACACCCGCTACCCCCCTGGAGCGCTGGTTCCCACGAAGGACATCTGCACATCTTGGTACTCAAGCCCACAAAGCAAGGGGTCAGGCGGGGGCTCGGTGCACACGCAGGCACGCCACACACACACACATAACAAGCACACACAGGCCTGCACACACACACAATCCCATGCTGCTCCATGCAGGTGCACATACCCATGCGTGTGCACACAGCCACATGCATCTCATACACACACGTCCACACACAGAGTGCGTGCCTGTACTCATGCATGGACACAGTCCCGCAGGTGCACACAGTCACACATGCACACGAATGTCACCTGCCTGTTCCAGCTTTTTCCCATCTTACCTGTCCCGTGCCTCTGCCCGCGTTTAGAGCCTGGCGGGTGGGGCTCCTCTGGAGCTGGTTTTGGGGATGGGGTCTGCACTGGGAGCAGGCCTGGAGGGAGGGCAGGAGGCCTGCAGCCACTGTGCTTCCTTTGCAGTGTCTGCACTGACTCCTCACATGTGGTCTGCCTCCCGGAGGAAGGTAAGCTGTCCTCTGTTGCTACCTCTGCGGCAGGAAGCCTGCAGCCTGCCCCGTCCCTGCATCCATGGGCCTGGCCTGCGTGCGGTTGTCCTCCTGGGTTCCACCTGTTTGGTGCCCAGACATGTTCAGACCTGCTCTGCTGTGCAGCAGCCCATGGGCTCCTGTGACACGCTGAGTCCCTTCTTATGGGAGCCGGTGCCTCATGGGGAACATCTGCTGCCCCTCCCTCTGTGTCTCCTATGTTCTGATGAGGCCCCTTCCTCAAGGGGAGGAGATCCAGGAAAGGGGTCCTGCTGGGGCACTTGTGGAACTGGGGGCACCCAGTGTCTCCTCAGGTGTGAGTCTGCCTCCACCTGCCGCGCTGATGGCTGGCCTCCTCCCCCCAGAAAAGATTCTCAACCAGACTCAGGACGGTGTCTTCTGCTACTGGGAGTTCTGTGGCCCCAATGGGACAGTGGAGAGGCACTTCAACATCTGTGCAACTACCACGGCACCCCCGTCCACGCCGACTTCCTCCACCACCTCTGTCCCCACCACCACCTCCTCTGTCCCCACCACCACCACCACCACCATCACCCCCTTCACCAGCCCAGGTGAGGCCCCATGGCCGCGGATCTCTGCTGGGGACCTTGCCTTTCCCCAGCAGCCCACGTGGCCTGGGTGGCCAGCTTCTGTCTGCAGATCAGCTGCCAGATGAGGTAACATCCATGTGGCCTGTGTCCCTGCAAAGATGCCTTTAAGGCCTAATCAGAGGACTTCCTTAAATTCCTGTTTGTTGTGGTCAAAATCATGGACACACTGGACAAACCACCAGGGTGTGACAAGACACAGGAAGGCACACTGAAAAGTGAAGAGAGTCAAAGGGTCTCGGCCTGGGTAACGAGACCCTTCCCCTCTCTATTGCAGTTCCGTCAACTTCAAGTAAGTGACGCTGCAATATGTCACGGTGACAAACAGGGCCAAGATGAGCAAAATCTATAGAACTCCCAGGAGGCTGCTTGGGGCCTGCGAGGCTGGTGGGCTTCTCTGCTGAAGGACCAGTGATGGGTGTATTTGGGCAACTTTACTGTCTGCTCAGGCCAGGGACTAGTGAGGAGGGGCTGGACCTGCGTGAGGGACCATGCGGTTGGCCAAGAGTAGAGACAAGGCCTGTCCATACTCCCCCTTCCTGGAGCTGTGGCTCTACGGGTTCCTCCTTTTGTTCCTTTTTAAATTTTCTTTTTTTTTTTAGTTGTAGTCAGACACAGTACCTTTATTTTATTTATTTTTATGTGGTGCTGAGGATCGAATTCAGTGCCTCGCACGTGCTAGGTGAGCGCTGTACCCTGAGCCACAACCACAGCCCCCCCTTTTGACACTAGGATGTGGAACAGCTGCGGAAGGGGTGCCTACCTGAAGCTTCAAGGTTTGGGCCTGTCAGACCCAGACATGGCCTGGGGTGGCCTCTGTCCTCTGGGCCTCAATATTATAGTTGTAAAATGAGGGTGAAGTCAGTTTAAGCCCTGTCCTGCAAACTGCTCCTTTAGAGATGACAGGAGGGGCAGCCATACCTTAAGGATGGTCATGGAGGTCCCAAGCCCTTCTGGGCATGGAGACCTTGAAGGTGCCTCTGCCCAGATGCAAATGACCACTGGGGGGGGGGTTTGCTTCTAGAGCACTGCTGCTTCTGGACTGACTGGATCAACGAGGACCACCCGAGCAGCAGCAGCGATGGTGGTGACCGAGAGAACTTTGACAGTGTTTGCAAGGCTCCAGAGGACATCCAGTGCAGGTCGGCCACGGAGCCCCACCTCTCCTGGGAAGAGCTGGGCCAGAACGTACAGTGCAACCTCTCCGTTGGGTTTGTCTGCAAAAACGAAGACCAGTTCGCGACTGGACCATTCGAACGCTGCTATGACTATGAGATACGGGTGAATTGTTGCGTACCATGGTGGGAATGCCCCACCTCGCACACGACAACGCCCACGCCCACACCAACGACCACGCCCACGCCCACGCCCACGACCACACCCACGACCACAATCACAACCACGCCCACGACAACACCTATACCCACAACCACAACTCACGCCACACCAACGCCATCACGAACCACGCCCACAACCTCACCCACGCCCACGCCCACAACCACAACCACAGAGTCCCCGAGTCCAACGCCCACCCCCACGGTGACAACAATCCCAACCTCCACCACCACCACGACAACCACCCCTCCTTGTCTGGACTGCGAATGGACTGGCTGGCTGGACTCCGGAAAACCCAACTTTGACAAGCCAGGAGGAGATTTTGAACAAATTGGAGGTGTCTGTGCCCCGGGCTGGGCAGCTAACATCTCCTGCCGAGCAGCGATGTATCCTCAAGTTCCAGTCCAGCAGCTTGGGCAGCAAGTGGTGTGTGACCTCTCAGTAGGACTGGTCTGCAGAAACGAAGACCAAAGGCCAGGCGGAGTCATTCCCATGCCCTTCTGCCTCAACTACGAGATCAACGTCCAGTGCTGCAGACCCTGTGGCTCCACATCAGCAACGCCTACGACCACCACCACTGAGACCTCCACAGGGACCGTTACCCCAACTCTCACCACCATAGAGAATTCAACCTCAACAACTGTCACCACACCGACAACTACCACGACCCACACCCCAACACCAACACCCACCACCACAACCACAGAGTCCCCAAGTCCAACACCCACCACCACGGTGACACCAACCCCAATATCCACCACCACACAGACCCCAACCCCAACATCTACCATCACTACTATCTCCACTGAGACCACAACACCTACACCCACCACCACAACCACAGAGTCCCCAAGTCCAACGCCCACCCCCACGGTGACACCAACCCCAATATCCACCACCACACAGACCCCATCCCCAGGCTCCACCACCACAGAGACCCCAACCCCAGGCTCCACCACTACACTCACCCCAACCCCATCCTCTACTGTAACTGCCCCTGTCACTGAGTCCACAGCTACAAGCACAGCCACTCCTGCTGCTACGAGCACTGTCTCCCCTACTCCCACTCCCACCAGCACTGGCACAGAGGTTCCCACCCCTACGGGCACAGTACCCACTACCGCGTCAACCGCGTCCACACCTGCAACTTCACCCTCCACCCCCGTGACTACTCAGTCAACCCCCTCCCTTTCCACGGAGTCCACCACCCTTCCCAGCACCCCTCTGACCACCAAGGAGCCTTCTAGCACCACAGCGTCACCCAGAACAACACCCCCTGTGGCCGCTGTGACTACGGGCAGCACTCCTGGACCTGAGGCCTCCACTTCGGGCACCACCCCACCCTCTCCAGGTAAGGAGACGCATCCCACCCTCCTCTCCCAGGAGAGCCGCCCTCTGCCAGGGAGCCTCACAGCTCTGGGCTGGCCTGGCTCAGTGCCTCGGGGGGCTGCCCTTGCTCTGCCCAGGAGGGTGGGCCCTGGGAAGGCCGAGGCTGGCTCCGCGTGCCTTTCCCTCTGAGCACCATCACTGAGTGCAGGGAGCCCCGACCATCATCTGTGCCTGGGCTGCGTGGGCAGAGCCCCTTGGCGAGCCTTGGGCTGTGTAGAACAAGGCCTGCCTGGGCCTCCCTGCCTGGGCCTCCCTGCCTGGGCCTCCCTGCCTGGGCCTCCCTGCCTGGGCCTTTGGAGCCTTGGCGTGGCAGAGGAGGCCAGAGGGGCCGGCACGCTCAGCCTGCAGCCCTGCAGCGCCTCCTGCAGCTCTGCTGCTGCCCTGAGCCTCGGCCTCCCCTGCAGTCCTCCCATGGCACACAGTGTGAGTGGTGGCTTCCAGAGCCTTGGTCTCCAGCCAGCCGGCCACCTTCCCCTCTGTGGTCCTGTTGTCGGGTCCCCGTGGCACCTAAGAGGAGTGACGGCCTCAGCTCACGACCTGTCCTTACAGGCACACCCATCTTGAAGACCACTCCCCACACTGTGCTGACAACCACCGTGGGGACTCCCACCAGGACAGGGCTCCCCTCTACCATGCCGACCACACGGGAGACCACCAGAACCTCGTCCTCCTGGGGGACCCTGGCCACGTCCACCCCGATCGAGTCCCCCAGCACCCCGTGGGAGATGAGCACTTCCACCACCTGCTGCGTGTTGAACGACACGTACTACATCCCAGGTGTGTTTGGCCGTCCACCCCCAACACTAGGCAGCCGAAGCTGGGTCTGATCCCTGTTTAATGTGACAGGTTAAGGACCAGGCAAGGTCCAAGCCAGGAACTTGCTCAGGAGGCGGGAGGACAAGGGTGGAATGGGACATCTGGCTGGAAAGAGGGACCAGGGTCCCTCAGCTCGTGAGCCTGGTCAGGGTGGTTGGTCCATTTTCTGTTGCCATGACAGACTACCTGACACTAGATCATTTTTAAACATTAGAGGTTTATTTGGCTCACGGTTCTAGAGGCTGGGAGGAGCGTGGTGTCAGCACCTGGTGAGGTCGTCTGTGCATCCTGATGTGGCAGAGGGCATTCCCAGGCGAGCGGGGCAAGCAAGCTGGCTCCAGCCTTGTTCTCTTCTTCTAAAGCCACTAATGCCACCCCAGGGCTCCACCCCGAGGACCCCATCTAAGCCTGGTCACCTCCCAGAGGCCCCTTCCCAACCCTGTAGCATGTGCCCAGGGACAGTCACACGGGCACCCCTGGGGCACATGACTGTCTGGGCCCACAGCAGTACCTTCTCTGTCTTCCACGGGACCTGCGTCCTCTACGGTGGCCACCCTGCCTCTGGGTGGCATGGGGACTGGACCTCTCTCTCCCCGCAGGTGACGTGGTGTACAACAACACCATCGGGGACACCTGCTACTATGTGAACTGCTCTGTTGACTGTGAGTTCCAGTACTTCAACTGGTCCTGCCCATCCACGCCTTCCCCAACGCCCACATCCTCGGTGCCCACTCCGTCCTTGGTGGCCACGCCTTTGACACCCTCAACACCCAAGCCCTCCACGCCAGCGACCACATCCTCCCAGCCGACACCCGGCACCACCAAGCCCACTGGGTGCCTAGATTTCGATCCTCCGAGACAGGTCAGTGGGCCAGGGTGGCCTCGTTCCCCCGTGCCAGGGGTGTCCATGCGTCCGAGGCCTGAGGGGTCCGAGATGCTCCTCCCCCTCCCTGCACCATCTGCAGTGCAGGGTCCGCTGCAGCCCTTGGCCTTCTCCAGGCCTGGCCAGGTGGCTGGCCACCACGAGGCCCTGTTGCCGGCGGCCCCTCTGGGGTGGCGAGGACTGCCGTGCTGCCCACGTGCAGCCTGTTGACCCCCAGGGCCTCGTCCTGCAGGAGAACGAGACCTGGTGGCTGTGTAACTGCACCATGGCCATCTGCAAGCACGACAACGTGGTGGAGATCGTGGAGAAGGAGTGCCAGCCCCCGCCCATGCCCACCTGCTCCAATGGCCTCAAGCCTGTGCGCGTCCTGGACCCCGACGGCTGCTGCTGGCACTGGGAGTGTGACTGTAAGTCCCTCCCAGTCGCTCGGGGACTGCCTGCCACTCCCTCTCTGGTGGAGGGTGGCATGGCTGGTCTCCTGGGAGCACGCATGCCCTTGGGCGCAGAGTCCGAGGGCTGAGCACCTGCTGCAGGCTTGGCGCAGGGCCCAGGGACTTCTCGCACTCCTTCCTCCCCAGGTCTGGGGACCTCCCCAGAACGAGGAGGCCTTCCAGGTTAGAGGGGCCCCTCTGGCTGGCTGCCCCCTGTCCTGCGGAAGGGCCCTGTGGATGGTGGGGAGCCAGGTCCAGCCTGCTCTCACACCCAAGTGCACCAGGCTTTTCAGGCCCGCTCTCCCGACCTGACCCTGAATCCTGACTGTGACCCGTTGCGGTCCCCACCCCTGCCCGCCAGCTCACTGAGCTTCTTCTGCAGGCTACTGCACGGGCTGGGGGGACCCGCACTACGTCACCTTCGACGGCCTGTACTACAGCTACCAGGGCAACTGCACCTACGTGCTGGTGGAGGAGGTGACCCCGCAGGTGGAGAACTTTGGGGTCTACATCGACAACTACCACTGTGACGTCAACGACAAGGTGTCCTGCCCCCGCACACTCATCGTGCGCCACGAGACCCAGGAGGTGCTGATGCAAACCACGCAGATGATGCCCCTCAAAGTGCAGGTGCGTGGGGTGGGCCCGGCGAGTGTCCACAGTGGGCGAGCAGGCCGGGCTCTGAGCGAGGTCCCCACAGCAGAGGACGGCAGCGAGGGCCCTACCTAGCCTCCCCGGAGCCGGGCTGGAAGGTGGGATGGGGCGGGGTCTCCTGGGGACACAGCGTGCTCTTCTCAGGCCCTCCAGGTGTGTTCAGGGACCCTGCGTCCCACCACTCAAGCCCCGCCCGGGCACAGGTCTCGGCAGAAGCTCCTCCCGGGGACAGGGCTGGTGGTCAGGGCTGCCCTCCTGCAGGTGCAGATGGGCCTCTGCGTCACACACGGCTCCCAGAGGTGACCGAGGCTGGGCAAGGCAGGCCTCTAGCTGGCTGCCCCCTGCTCCTGCCGGGGCGCCTGACCAGGAATGCTGGGTGCAGGTGCAGGTCAACAAGCAGGCGGTGGCCCTGCCCTACAAGAAGTACGGGCTGCAGGTCTACGAGTCAGGCATCAGCTTCGTGGTGGACATCCCCGAGCTGGGCGCTCTCATCTCCTACAATGGGCTGTCCTTCTCCGTCAGGCTGCCCTACCGCCTGTTTGGCAACAACACCAAGGGCCAGTGTGGTGAGCTCCGCAGCCCCCGCCCGCCCCACCTTGGGAGCTGGGGGCCTGTTCAAGCGGCGGGCATGGGCCTTCTGCCCCTCGGTTGGGGCGCTGTGGTGTGGTCCTGGGTTTGGTCCCTGTGGGGCGCCCACAGGAGGGGGCTGGCCACGAGGGACCTGGGCGGGGGGAGGGGTGGTCTCCCAGGGACGACCCTGGCCCCGACGGTCCAGGCTGGTGCTGGTGCGATGGGACCATCCTTGCCGCCACAGGCACCTGCACCAACAGCACTGCCGACGACTGTGTGCTGCCAAGTGGGGAGATCACCTCCAACTGCGAGGCCGCAGCTGACCAGTGGGTGGTGAATGATCCCTCCAAGCCACACTGTCCCCACGGCAGCTTCACCACCAGGCGCCCGGCCCTCACAACGCCAGGGGGCAGCCACTCCACACTGCCCAAGAACTGCACCACGTCTCCACTCTGCCAGCTCATCAAGGACAGGTGACCTGCCTGGGCCTGTCGGGCCTGGCCACTGGGCAGCTGTGGGCCCCAGGAAGCAGCCTAGACTACCAGGAGGATGCAAGGCCCAGCCGAGCGGGGAGCTGGAGGGCTGAGCACGGTGCTGTCCGGCCCAAGTCAGGGCGCAGGCCCAGGCCCCTGTTCCCACAGGCCAGCAGCGTTCCTGGGCACCCTGCTCTCCTGGCCTCCTGGGTGGTGCCAGCTTAGCTGCCCCAGAGGCCCTGGGTGGCCCAGCCGGTCGAGCACAGAGCTGGCACTCAGGGCTGACTCTGGGGAGCCAGGTTTGAGCTTAGATGGAAGGGGGCCTCCCGAGGCGGGCAGCAACGGACAGGTCGGTGCGGGGTTGGGCTTCAGGGGGCCTTCCAGGGCTGCTGGGGAGGCTCAGGGCACCCAGCGCTCCCCCTGGGGCCCAGTGGGTGTGGGTCTCCTGTCCTCCAGGCCGGTCCCTTCCGGCTGCTCCTGCTCCTGCTGTCAGCCACAGGCACCCGCTGATGGCCACAGGCTGAGCATGCCGGGGGCAGCCGGGGTGGGGGTGGGGGACAGGCGGGTGTGGTCACCTGGCCTGGAGCCGACCAGAGCGTTAACTCGCCCCGCAGCCTGTTCTCCCAGTGCCACGCCTCCGTGCCGCCCCAGCACTACTACGAGGCCTGCGTGTTTGACAGCTGCTTCGTGCCTGGCTCTGGCCTGGAGTGCGCCAGTGTGCAGGCCTACGCGGCCCTCTGTGCCCAGCAGGGCATCTGCATTGACTGGCGGGACCACACCCACGGGGCCTGCTGTAAGTGCCCCTGCCCCTGCCCCGCACGGGGGCCTGCAGGCCAGACGAGGCTCTCCAGATCTGCAGGTTGTGAAGCCTGGAGTTAGACCCAATGGGCTGGGCCAGGCAGGGCCAGCCAGGGCTGAGGCTGGGTCCCCAGGTGGGGAAGGACAGCCCGGAGGCCGGGTGTGGAGTCTGCACCCAGCTGGGCCAGGGTTAGGGTGAGGTCGGTGGGTGTGGGCCTCCTGTCCTCCAGGCCTGTCCCTTCCCGCTGCTCCTGCTGTCAGCCACAGGCATTCCCTGATGGCCACAGGCTGAGCATGCCGGGGGCAGCCGGGGTGGGGGTGGGGGACAGGCGGGTGTGGTCACCCGGCCTCCAAGCTGACCAGAGCGTGACCACGCCCCCCAGCCAGGCACCCACCAGGCACCCACCAGGGCAGGACAGGGGCCACAGCACTGAGTCACTGGCCACCTCTGCTGGTGTGGGGAGGTCCTGGTTGGGAGGGAGCGGGCAGCTGTCACTGGGGATGTGCCCTCCTGAGTGGCCCTCTGGTCCTTGCTTTCTACAGCTGTGACGTGCCCATCTCACAGGGAGTACCGGGCCTGTGGCCCCTCACAGGAGCCCACCTGCCAGTCCAGGTACGTAGTGTGACGAGTCCCCGACGCATGGGCGGGCAGGTGGCTCCCTCCCCATCCCACCGCCCTGGGCCAGAGGCCCCCCTGAGGATCCTCTTCCTTCAGCTCCTCCCCGCAGAACTCCAGCAGCCTCGTGGAGGGCTGCTACTGCCCCGAAGGCACCACGAGCTACGCCCCGGGCTTCGATGTCTGCGTGAAGACCTGCGGTATGCCCCCCACCCCGCCCCTCCTCGGTGTCCATGGGGCTGGGCCCAGGGTGGACCCTGCTCCCTACAGTACCAAGCTGTGCTAACAGGTGTTTCCTTCCTCTTCCAGGCTGTGTGGGACCCGACAATGTGCCCAGAGAGGTAGGTCTTCCCCTTTGTGCTGGGGGTCTCCCAAAAACCCTGAATTTTGGGGAGTGGAGTGGGGTCCGGTGGACATGAGACTGAGTAACCAGTCACTGAACCCTGGGATACTGATTTAGCAGGGACGCCCACGCACTCATCCACTGTCCATTTCTTTGTCCATCTGTCCATCCAAACATCTCTCCACCCACTTGTCCATCCACTCACCCACCTGTCCATCTGTCCATCCATCCATCCTCTTATCACCTGGTCATGGATTTATTCATCTGTCCATCATCCACACCCCCAGCCGACCCTCTCTCTGTGCATCCACCTGCCTGCCCACCATCGTGTGGTCTGTCAGCACTGGGGTGACACATAGGCCACTGGGTGGGGTCTGCCTCCAGGGTAGGGTCATGGCCCTGAGGCTCACTCCTGGCTCAGTTCTGCACAAACCTAAGTGATTTGAGAGGTGCCTTGGCCCCACACCAGGCCCGTGTTGGTGGGTGCTGGTGAGCAGGTCACGGCTGTGGATGGCAGCCTGGGACCCCAAGAGAGCAGCTGCTGTCCTTCCCAGAGCCTGGCCTGTGAGCCAGGGGTGGGCAGGGATGTGGCTTCCCCTCAAGACCCCTTGGCCAGCTGCCTAGGACAGCCCTTTCCTGCTTGGCTGGCCACAGATGGGTCGCCCTGCAGCCCTGGCACGGTGGTGGGCGGGGCCTGGTGGGGCCCTTGGCTTCAGCAGCCCACGTGCTTCCTCCGCAGTTTGGGGAGCGGTTTGTGTTCGACTGCAAGGACTGCGTCTGCCTGGAGGGTGGCAGTGGCATCTTGTGCCAGCCCAAGCAATGCAGCCAGAGGGCTCCCGTCAAGTGTGAGGAGGACGGCACCTACCTCGCCACCGAGGTCGACCCTGCCGACACCTGCTGCAGCATCTCCCTGTGCAGTAAGGCCAGCCGGAGCGGGAGGCAGGACCCTGGGCCCCACTGTCATGCAGCGGGCACCCTGTGGGCAGCCCCTGCCCTGGGAGCTCAGGATGTGGCCATCCCAGAGGCTGTGGGGCTCCACTGGACATCCCCCTGCAGGGGCTGGCCTGGGAGGGGTGAAGGGGAACCCCCCGGGGTGCAGGGGCCCTGTGCTATGTGGCAGGAGGTGGGGCTTTGCTGGTGGGAAGCACCCTCCTTAGGAGTCTGCATCCACCTTCAGAGTGCAACACCAGCCTGTGCAGAGAGGAGCCCACCTCGTGCCCGCTAGGATTCCAGGTGAAGAGCAGGATGGTGCCCGGAAGGTGCTGCCCTGTCTACTCCTGTGGTACGTGAGGCTGGCTGGCGAGGCTGGGCCGTGCGGGAGGGCTGGCTACGGGAAGCGGCACCCTCGGGGGTCCTGTCTGTGGATATGTCCTGAGCTGGGGCTAGGCCAGGTGGCCACTCAGGACAGCCTCTGAGGGCCTCTCCTGCTCTCTCCCAAGTGCCCAAGGGTGTGTGTGTGCACCAGAACGCAGAGTACCAGGTGAGCCCTGGGCTGGCAGTGGGGAGGTGGAGGAGGGAGGGGAGGTTGCGGCCCTTGCTCCCCGTGGGTGGGGAGGGGTGTGGCCGGGGCCTGGCAGGTCCTCATCGCCTGCCTGTGCCCGCAGCCTGGCTCCCCAGTGTACTCCTCCAAGTGCCAGGACTGCGTGTGTACCCATGCCGTGGACAACAGCACCCAGCTCAATGTCATCACCTGCACCCATGTGCCCTGCAACATCTCCTGTGACCCTGTAAGCCCCAGCTGCCCTCCTTCCCCGCTCCCCATCTCAGGGCACCTCCTCCCCTCTCCCTGAGAAGCACACAGGCCCTGACGCTTCCACGGAGTTTGTCACACTTCCTCCGTGCTCTCCTTGCCCACTCCGTTCCTGCCTCTCCACCTTGGCACCTACCTGGACTGCAGCTTCTCCAGGCAGGCAACCCCTGCAGCCCCAGGTGCCTCTGGGGTGCAGGACAAGCCTGCAGCTGGGCCTGGGCCTTGTCTGTCCACAGGGCTTTGAACTTGTGGAGGCCCCTGGCCAGTGCTGCAAGAAGTGTGAGCAGACCCACTGCATCATCAACAGGCCCCAAAGCCAGTACCTCATCCTGAAGGTGCGCCAGGGACACCACCCATGGCTGGGAGGTTCCACAGAGCGGGTGGGAGCAGAGAACAGGGGAACCCTGGCTCCGCTGGCCGAGTCCCCCAATTCTGGGTACAGCTGTGGACAAGGGTCCTGGGGCTGCTGCAGCAATGTACACAGTGCGGTGGCTTAAGCCAGCAGGACTCGATTCTCCCAGTTCTGGAGTGCCCAGCTCTGGGGTCCAGGCTCACAGGGCTGGGGAGGGGGAGCCACGGGGAGGCTCTGCCTCCGTCTCCAAGTGGCTCCTTCCCTACGTCTGTCTCCTCCTCTGCCTCTCATAAGGATGCTGCCCCTGGCTTTGGGGCCATGCTAATCCAGGATGACCTTGTCTCAAGATCTTTTGTTTAGCTTCATCGTTAAGTGTCCTTCTCCCAAATGGGGTCACTTCATAGGTCTGGGCACAGCTCCCTGGGATGGGGACAGAACCTTTTCGGTTATGTGGGCTGCAGGCAGGCGCCTGTCCCGAGACCCCTTGTCCACTTGCCTGGTGCTGCTGGGCCTGCAGCTGGTCTGGTCTGAAAAGCTGCTCTTGTCGTGTCCCCACTCTGTCCTGGTTTGTGTCTCTGGGCTGCAAGACCTTCCCACGTGTCCTCACTGATGCTCTCTGCCTGCAGCCCGGGGACATTCAGAGCAACCCCAACAACAAGTGCACGTTCTACAGCTGCATGAAGGTCCACAACCAGCTCATCTCATCCGTCTCCAACATCTCCTGCCCTGACTTTGACCCCAGCCGCTGTGTCCCAGTGAGTGGGCCCCTGGGGCGTGGGTCTACCATGCTCTGCCCAGAGTGGGGCCCCCAGTGTTCCTGAAAGGCTGGTCCAGTGCTGGGACCTGGCCTCAGGCCTGGCTGCAGCTGCCCAGGAGGCTTTGTCCTGGGCTCCTGCAGGAACCACCCCTTCCCAACCCCGTGTCAGGAAGGGGGTGCCCATCCACTCGGGAAGTCTGGGGGACCCGGGCTCATTCTCCTTTCCCCCCAGGGCTCTATCACACTGATGCCCAATGGATGCTGCCAGAGATGTGAGTACCGTCTGGCAGGCACGGCCTGGTGGGTGGGTGCCACAGAGCCCCTGGAGGGAGGAAGGTAGAGAGGAGGGTGCCCCAGAGCCTGTGCCTGCTGTGCCGTCCTCTCTCACACTATGCCCAGGAAGAGGCAGGAGGGAGCTGCAGGCTGAGGGCTGCCCCTGGGGGATCGGTGGCGCCAGGTTGGGGGCTGCTGTACTTGGGCAGAGGAGAGGAAGTGAGAGCTGTGTGAGACCCCTGCCCCTTGGCCTCCTCCCAGGCATCTCTCTCAATGAGACCAGGGTCCCCTGCGCCACCATCCCAGTAATCAGGGAGATCTCAAGGGCCGGCTGCACCAAGAATGTCACCATGAACTACTGCTCCGGGTCCTGCGGGACTTTCGCCATGTGAGTCCCAGGCTAAGCCTGTGCCTGGTGGGGAGCCCGGGGGAGTCCAAAGAGAGGCCCGGGGGCGGGGAGGCGGCCCCTCACCCGGTCCTCGCCCCCAGGTACTCGGCGCACGCCCAGGCCCTGGACCACAGGTGCTCTTGCTGCAAGGAGGAGAGGACCAGCAAGCGCGAGGTGGTGCTGGACTGCCCCAACGGCGGCACGCTGGCTCACACCTACACGCACATCGAGAGCTGCCTGTGCCAGGACTCCGTGTGCGGGCTCCCGCTGGCGCAGCAGAGCCGCGTCCGCCGCTCCAGCCCCCGGCTCCTAGGGAGGGCGTGAGCCGGGAGGCGCTGCCCCCGCCGCTGACCTGCCTCGCCCCTTCGCCCCTGAGCTTGGATTCCTCTCTGCGGATATTTATTTTCTGAGTCTCTGTTAGATCTTTTGCTTTCTGATAATAAACTCAGGCAGAGATGCTGTACTGGTGTGGTCTGAGTTGATGCCCGTTGGCCACTGGTCCGCAGGGTCCAGGGGTGTGGGGGTGGGGTGCCTCAGAGAGGACCCTGGGCCCCCCACCGGTCCGGCCACCAGTGTGCACACAGGACCCAGGGATCCTGGCCTTGCCCAGTACTGCCCAGAAAAACCAGCCCCAAGCTCTCTGCGTGTGCCAAGCCCTGGCTGGGCAGCTTGACCTCAGGCCTGTGAGACGGTCCCAGGGTCTTTCATGGCCGTTTCCCAGGCTTTCTGCTGCTGGGGTGATTTTAGTCCAGCACGAGCTGTGGGGTCAGTGTGTGCCCGTGTGTGTGGATCTCTCTGGGTTTCTACCCCGGAAAAGCCAAGAGAATCAGCTCCCGCTGCAAACTAGCCAGAAGTGGCCGTGGCTGGCTGGCCAGGGTTTCAGGCAGCTTCCAGGCAGAGCCCGCCAGGCCTCCCACTGGCCTGAAGGCACAGTGGACGGCTGGCCACGCGGACGTGTGTGACCTCAGACACAGTGCCCTCACGTGTTTGGGAGCTGAGGCCCTGGCTGTCTGGGACTCATGGAGGCTGGTGGAGGCTGCCCATCTGTAGGTGCGTGCAGAGTAGCCCCCACCTCCTCTCTCAAGGCAGCAGGCAGTGTTGGGGGAGCCCCAGGTGTCCCGGAGGAGGCCAGAGCCCCAGCACCCAGTCTCACTGCGGAGCCTTGCTGCAGTGCCCTCAGGACGCACAGCACCTGTGCGGCGTCCAGAGCTGCTGGCCAGAGGCCAGAGCCCCTCTTCCTTCTCTCCACTCGAGGCCTCCTCGGGGCTGGGCTGAGACAGCTGCCCTCCCAGGCTGTCCCACCTCCGCCCGGTTCCCTCCCCACCTGACCTCTGGACCCCAGGGAGGGCGGCAGCTGTGTGGCAGGGGCAGTGGGCTGAGGGCCTGTCAGGGTGCCCATGCCTTGGTGTCTCCCTGGTCCTGGAGGCTGCTCAGGTGTGGCAGTCTTCCCAGTGCCCCAGCTGTCCTTGCCAGCCCCCTCCGGGGACCCAGAGCCCGCAGTGTCTAGGCCTACGGACTTCTTGGGAAGCCAGAGGGCCTGGGCCCACCCTAGAGCCACTGGGTCCTCTGGCAGAGCAGATGTGCTGAGGGGACGTGGGCTGGCCACCCCTGGCATGGCCATGCGGGGCCTGGTGCTTCAGAGCCAGCGCTTCCATGAAGTCTTCAAGGCCCGAGTCCCAGAGCCACTCCACGCCCCATCTGGTGCTGGAGGGCAGGGGCCCTGAGCAGTCGTGTGTGGCCCGTCCTGGCAATGTGTCACTTCTCTGCCAGCGTGTGCCCTGATGGCAGCCCCAGGATGGCGGTGACCTGCAGGGTGGGATAGGCTGCTGTGGACAGAGCCCTGGTCAGGAAGAGGAGGAAGGTGCTGGCAGGTCCCTGGATCTATCTCTGGGCCTGCCGCTGTGAAGCGGGTGCTCCAGGGGCCACCGAATGGGTGAGGGTGCAGCTGGGCCCCTGCCTGCCCTTCCGTGCTGAACCCTTCATAAAGGGACTCCACCCCAGAGCAGCCCACTCCTTCCCAGAACAGGCCCCTGACCAACCTAGGCCATAAAACCCCCGGACATTAAACTCAACCTCACACAAAAGGCGTTAGCCAGCCACCATGGAACTAAGGTAGACAGTAACAACACAGGCGACTGGAAGATCCCCCTAAATTTGGGAATTGGGACACACACTTGTTTTTTGTTTGTGGTGCTGGTGACAGCACCCAGGCTAGGCGATCACTTACCACTGAGCAACACCCCAGCCTCTGGGACACACACTAAATAACCCACGGGTCAAAGAGGAGGCTCAAGAGAAGTTAGGAAATGTTTTAAATAGACTAAAAATGAAAGCAAAACTTATCAAAAAGTATTCCTTAGACCTTCACAGCGTGTTTTCTTGTGTTGGTGAGAGGGAAGTCTCGATGGCCCATGTTCTACCTCAACACTCTAGCGGAAGACGAGCAGGTGGAGCTGGAACAAATGAGGCTAACACACCCGTCCAGGGGCCTCCGGGAGCACCCACTTCACGGCTTCAAACCCCAGACTCCAGGCACACAGAACCGAACGGGTAGAATCAGTGAAGTGGAAAACTGGCTCCTTGAAGAGATAGAAGTAAAACCGAATGAACCTCATCAAGGAGGATCATGCAAAAAAGAACGAGGACTATACACAGACGAAGTGTGGGACAGGGCTACACCTCCCACAGACCTCTCAAGGACTCGGAGGGGAAAGGGAGACCATGGTGTAATGGGGTTGACAACTTGATGAGGCAGACACGTCCCTCCACAGAAACAAGTTCACAAAACTGACCCAAGAAGAAACAGGAATCAGCCCCATCTTGTCTTAGAAACCGAATCCATCACCTGCAGGCCTTCCTCAGGACGCCTTATCTGTGATTCTGTAAATATTTAGAGAAGAAATAGCACCAACCCCATTTAAACTCTTCCAGAACATAAGTGAGAAGGGAGCACTGTTAACCACTGAGCCCCATCCCCAGCCCTCTTTATGTTTTGTATTTGGAGACAGGGCCTTGCTAAGTTGCTGAGGCTGGCTTTGAACCCATGATGCTCCAGCCTCAGCCTCCTGAGCTGTTGAGGGAAACATCTCTCAACCCATCTTGCAGGTTTGCATCTCTCCAGATTCCAGAAGCAGTGATGTGGTGAGAAACAGCTGTCGGTGCCTGCCAGGAGCAGAGGTACAGAGCCCAGAGAGGAATGTTGTGAGGCCGTCCGGCAGCACGTCCCAGGAAGGGCTGGCCAGGGCGACTCTCCTGTCAATACAGCACAGGAGAAAAGCAAAGTTAGAGGAGAAGGACTGGGCAGCCCTGAGGACCAGCAAGACAGCTGAGGGACCATGGACCACAGAGCGGGAGGGCCACCCAGGGGTGCAGAAGACAAAGTGTGTGGGTAGGTGGCCCCGCAGAACCCACAGAGCCCCCACCAAGGAGCTCCGCCTGCAGGAGCCAATCGTGTGTCTAGGTAAAGGGATCAAGTCAAAGCAAACAACTCCACTTACAATAGTATCAAAAACACAACCCATGGGAAGACATTTAACAAGATGGTGCAAGAAATGTAAACTGAAGGCCACAACACATTCCAAAGCTAAATTTAAAAAGACTTAAATAAGAGGAGACATAGGCCAAGTTCATGGGCAAGAAGGTTTGATATTGGTGAGATAGCTGCCTTCTTTGAATCTACCTGAAGAGTCACGAAATACCCATACAATCCCTCACGGTCCTTTTGGAAGCAATTGGCAAGCTACTTTTGTCTTATTATTATTATTATTATTATTATTATTAGTTTTCTCTCTTTTTCCGTATTTTAAACAGGTGCATTGTACTTGTATAGGTTGTTGTTGGAGGTTCAATATGTGATGTCCACACACACAATGCAGCAGCATGGCCTGGCCAGTGTCCCTCCCCTGCACCCCCCCTTCCTCCCTTCCCCCCACCCCTGGTCCTTTCCTCTACTGACCTTCCTTTGATTTTCATGAGATACACCCACGGTCTCTTCTCCTTTTTCCTCTCGAGCCTCTGCTATGAGAGAAAACACATGACCCTTGACCTGAGTCTGGCTTATTTCACGTAACACAATGCTCTCAAGCTCCGTCCATGTTCCTGCACATGCCGTAATTTCCTCCTTCTTTGTGGCTGACTAAAACTCCACTGTGCATGTCCACCACATTCTCTTTATCCACCCGTCCATCGAGGGACACCTAGGCTGGCTCCGTCGTCTGGCGGCTGTGAATGGTGCTGCTATAAACGTGGTGTGTGTGTGTCACTGTAGTGAGATGACTCTAACTCCTCAGGGTCAATACCGAGGAGTGGGACAGCTGGGTCACATGGAGGTTCCCTGCCTGGTCTTTTGGGGAGCCTCCCTACTGATTTCCACGGGGGTCGTGCTAATTCACAGTCCACCCACAGTGTAAAGGGTTCCTCTCCCCGCATCCTCCAGCACGTGTTGTTCACACCCTGATGGCTGCCCTCCTGACGGGTGTGGGACACAGCTCAGTGTGGTTGTGAGTTGCATTTCCCTAATTGTTAATGATGTTGAACATTTTCCATGATTTGTTGCCCATTTGAACTACTTCTTTTGGGAAGTGTCTGTTTAGCTCATTTGCCAATTTATTAATTGGGTTACGTGGTTATTCAGCTTTCAGTTTTCTGAGTTCTTTTTAGTTTTCTAGATATCAATCCTCTGTCAGCAGAGTAGTTGGCAAATACAAGTGGGAAGCTGCATCCTGTGTCCAGAGGGCACCAGAAGTCTTGTGGCCCATTGCAGCGGGATGGACAAAGCGTGGGCCTAGGCCTTCATGGGGCTCTTATAAAGGTGGTACCTGTACCAGTTGGCTGGTAAGTTCATGAAAAGATGCTTAGCGTTAGGACCTGCCCAGTAATCGCAGGGAAAGCCACGGGGTGAGGCAGCTGGGAGCGTGGAGCGCTCCTGTGCCTCAAGGCCATGGCCGTGTCCAGCCAGGAGTTTACCAGGAAGGGAGCCCAAGCCACACGGCTGGTCCATGAATGCTGAAGGCAGCCGCGTTCAAAACTCCCAGACCCAGGAGCAACCTGGGGCCCGAGGCAGCGAGGTCTGCGACGATGCGTGCTCAGCCACGGGAAGGAGCCAGGGCCAGGGCGGCCGGCAGGGGCCTCGCGGCGTCATACTGCGGGAGGACACGAGGAAGACCGCGGGGTCTACACTTAGGCAGTTGCGTGGGTAGAATCACAGAGACGGAGGCCACGTGACACCTAGGACCCGGGAATGGACTGCCGGTGGCACAGATGAGCTCTTTAGGTCCCTTGCCTTGTGTGTGGTGCCGGTAACACAATTGCATGCCATCACTCACCTCATAACACCACACTCCCCGGTGGAGCGTCCTGTTGGGTGTCCGCACAAGCGCATAAGAGTAAGAATGAGGCAGGCCTAGCTCCTGGGACAACCACGCTCTTCAGCTCCTGTCTGCAGTGGGCCCCTGGGCTGGCTCA